TTACTAAACCTTCCTGTCCTCTGGCATTATTCCAAAATGAAAAAATCACAGTTAAAACGCTCTGTGAACTAAGCCTCAACCTCCCCAGATCATTCCTCTCATGTTCTTGTCTATCGCATTCCCTTTCTGAAACTTCACTGCCCTAATAGTCATTGTACAATTCCTGGTTGTACATTTTGTGTGATCGTCACTCCTTGTAACTGTTCACTGTCAACTGAAGAATTCTTCTATCAAGCATCTTTTGGTTCCTGTGATAACACTACCCAGCACATCACCCACCTGTATCTTGTCAACCTTGCTCTGCTTCAGCATTTCTTTGATTCATCTGTCCTCTCTACCATTGCTGGAGATACCAATTTTAAGACAAATGTCAACTTTACCATTCCAAATTTTAAGATATATTCACATGGATATTCAACTATTTTGGCTGATGACAATAAAGCTCATCTTAGTTTGAAGCTCATTGCAGAAAGTGCAAAGACAGATGAAACTATTTTCAAAACAATTGCAGAACACCTCGTAGATGGCCAAATTCCCATTCAAACTTCCTGGCTTGACACTAGTTCTGTTATTGCTGTCACAGCTGCTGCTGTCTCAAGTGTCGCCGTTATACTGGTTCGTTGGATGTTCTTCAATATCCGCACACTCTCAGCAGCACCTACGCTTGTAACCTGCATTGGCCCTGTTAAAGCTGTGTTACCTCCTGCTCTTAATTATAATTATCACACTCTACCTAGTTCAGGTACAGCTAGCTTTGTCCTTACTGACCTTGCTGACTACCATGTTTCTATTCTCCTAGGCCTTATAACCCTAGCTATTGCTTCCACCCTTCTTCTTCTTCTCTATCAACAGCGTTCAGGTCCTTGGAATGGTCTAGTTCTTGAACTCACATCAGGTTCTGAATGTGTGGCAATCCCAGTCATATCTGACACACTGTCCTTCATACTGGGATATTCAATCACCCTCAACCGTGGAAAACCTCCGCATTGCTGGTTACTTCTTCCTCACACTCTGTGTTGACTGGCCAGGCTTCATTGTAACTAACCAGCTTACTAAAACCTCCGTCACTATTCCCAATACCATTAGGATTTCGTACTTCAATGCTCGTCAACTCCGAAGGATGTTCAAGCAACCTTTCAGTGCCTACCACCTACTTGTCCATAATAACTTGTATACAATTCTTGAACCACCTACTTCAGTGCAATCATTTTAGTGTGTGGGCAGCAATATTTGTGCATTGCATCATGTATCATTTGTTTCAGCTTGGTATTCATATTTCACGATTGATATGTTTTGATAGTGTTTTGTTTATTTGATTGATTCTCATATTTTGTACGTTCTCAATCTTTTAGCTTTTGAGAACAAAAGCTCCATGACGCCCAGGGGTATTGTCATAGGTGTAAAATTTGTCATTTTTCCTCAATATTCATATAAAAGTTAACTGTGGTAATAGTCTTTATTGAGTTTGATTAAGGTAAACGTAAAGTGTTGCATTTAGTCAGTCTCACGTGTGAAGGTCGCCGCTATCTAGAAAATGGTATAAAATCCTTTGAGCATGGTCAGTATGATCTATCTGTACATGTCTCAGCCTCTATCGCAAGGACCGCTTGGCACACGTTTGCTGATACGTCCAACTCATATCAATATTTTCGGACTACTCATCAATTGTTATTCAACTTATGTGGACATCACTTGGTCAAACTTCTTAGGAAAGACTTAATTCCTATTCTCGGCACACGAACTCAAATTTTCTTATCAAGCTGATAATTGAACATGCAGTAAATTCGTGACCATTCAAGGTGTCTAGAGTATATATACTGGCTAGCCCCGGGGGTACCTCACTGTTGAGAAATCCCCAATAAAGGAGCTGGCCATAGACACTTTGTTTGGTTTCTTTGAAGGTAAGTCATGATCACTTTACTATTTCTCTAAATTTATAAGTTAAATTGTGTTATAATTTGTATCGTATATGGAGCAATATTATCAGCTGTAAAGGTATTTAATCTTATGTGATTGATCATGTATAAGGGCAAATATATCAAGTGGGTTGTATCTATTTAACGGAATTATCTGTCAAATGTACGTTACAAAACTTAGACAAAACTATCGTTTAAGTATTCACTCCACGGTATAACATATTGAATATCAAACATGTTCCGAGTCAGAAATAAGGTGTGAACAATCGGGTGTCGTGGTAGCAAGCTGTGTATTTTATCTGCATGTTAAAATTTTAGTGTGATTCAGTTAATTTTTATATGTGAAAACGTCGTGTAAATGCAGACGAACTCACTTTGATCAGACTTTTTATATCACACGAGGTATGTACATTATCTTTTAATGTAAGGATTCTATCATGAACCATACATTGCATGTATTACTTGTTCATAAACAGAATCCAGACTGCTTTAAAAATTGTTTATAAGAGTTAGTTGATGTAAACGTTAATTACTATAGCTAATATATGATGTATTTGCATCCCACATATTTATGCTAATAGCACAACTAAGCCAGAGCTAAAACCAGTAATAATATTCATGTAATCATTTAGTTAATCTGTTAGCGATGTACAAATAAGATAGGTAACTCTCTTGTAGGTACATAGGTCTGAACATAACGCATTTGTAACACAGCTGCAGGAAACATGTAGACATTACGAGCAATGTCTAAAATTACATATATCCATATATTATACCATTCAGTTATGGGAATGGACATTTGTTAATGGGCCGGTTGTATGTGGATGCTATCTGATATAGTTTGTTTGCTGCGGTAGTTTAGATAAATTATAGATATGGCCTATAACATATACCAGCATAAAACAAATGCTCAGAAGTTACAGCCAACACATGTTGTTATTTATATTTAAATCTTCATCCATTTGATACCGATATTGGGTTTAACTAGGTTTATGCATAAATGAGATATACCTTCTGGCAGTGCCATTTCACAAGGCGTAATCATAATTAGGAGTGGCTGAAAATAAATGTCACATAAGATTATGTAATTTTTCTTTATAGGTATCTTTGTAGACTGACTTTTATATTGTTATTTGTAATTGGTTGTTTTATCACTTAGCTCACGGTACGTTTGTTTATCATGAAACTTACACTCTTATGTATAATCATTGTTTAATATCACACACTGTTGTGATAACTGCTTTTTTGTGAAAACTGTAAATGTTCTGTATGATTTTGTACTTAATATGTAAAAAAATGTAAACAGACTGTCGAGAAATTCCCAATAAAGGAGTTGGCCATAGACACTTTGTTTGGTTTCTTTGAAGGTGGTGCCCGATCCCGAGCTAATTCCCCAAGGCTAATTCTATATATTGTGACGGTTTGAATACGAAAGTGTCAAACCATCATACAACTATCGTAGCATTTATTCCATTTATTGTATACTGTAGTTAAGGAGACACAACAATCGTAGCATTTATTCCATCTACTGTATGCTAAAGCATAGAAGACTCGACAATCGTAGCATTTATTCCATCTACTGTATGCTAAAGCATAGAAGACACGACAATCGTAGCATTTATTCCATCTACTGTATGCTAAAGCATAGAAGACACGACAATCGTAGCATTTATTCCATTTACTGTACGCTATAGCATAGAAGACAGCAATCGTAGCATTTATTCAATTTATCGCATGCTATAGCATAGAAGACATGACAACGTAGCATTTATTCCATTTACTATATGCTTTAGCATAGAAGACACAACAATCGTAGCATTTATTCCATTTACTGTATGCTTTAGCATAGAAGACACAGCAATCATAGCATTTATTCCATTTATCGTATGCTATTGCATAAAAGACACAGCAATCGTAGCATTTATTCCATTTATCGTATGCTATTGCATAGAAGACACAGCAATCGTAGCATTTATTCCATTTACTGTATGATTAAGCATAGAAGACACAGCAATCGTAGCATTTATTCCATTTATCGTATGCTAAAGGATAGACGACACAAAAATCGTAGCATTTATTCCATTTACTGTATGCTATACTATAGAAGACACGACAACGTAGCATTTATTCCATTTACTGTATGCTATAGCATAGAAGACACAGCAATCGTAGCATTTATTCCATTTACCTTTTGCTATTGTTTAGAAGACACAAGAATCGTAGCATTTCTTCCACGCCAACCTTCGCATCTTGTCTATCTTGTGTGTATGTTGTTATTTAGGAGACAGTAAATCCCGTCTGACCCACGTGTATGGTATTGTTAGGGGAGACGCGATAATTGCAATGTTGAAATTTCTCTGTGAAATGGTAAACGACATATATACCTTAGGCTGGTAAACGAACGTAAAGTTATTTTGTTTGGTTTGGTATAATATTAATTCAATAAGCGTTATGATATACTAACAGTGTGTCATTTCTGATACATCGATATAGTCTCTTTAATACTACTGCTAATATAAAATTTTGAGACTTTCCCTGGCAGAGTTGACCTAACAGGGTGAAGATCTGTTGGTTGTAACTGACATTCCGTGCTGGGTTAGGTCAGCCCACTGTCCACGAATTAGGTCATGCCCTACGAGTTTTATTATGGTAATGAAACAATAACCCCAATCGTTATAAGCGTGCTCGTTAGTAAACGTAGTTTACTGTATTGAGAATGTACAGTCACCAGGACAAGATCGGACGATTTGTGTAAAGGATTGTGTCGTGATTAATGCCGTTATTTAAATTGTAATATGCAACACGTTTAAAAAAACGAACGCCACTATATGTCAGGTCGGCACATGCAAGGCATTGTTATCTACTTAACACGTCATGCCCGTTAAAGGACATCAACCATGCCCGTAACACGACATCAGCGTGATTAACAGTCGGGAGCCTCCACGCGCAAACATATCACGATTGTTCTATTATACATATATGCACCACGATCGATAATTATTATATTGATATCAAATAAATACACAGCATGATAGAGCAAATATACAACATTAATATTATCATATATAGAACAGTAATACTCACGTCAGTAGGGTTGAAAAAACCCCAATCAAATTAGTGTTGAAGTGATCTTGGGTGTTTTGGGTGTTCTTCTCTGGTATGAGTCAAGTCTCACTGTGGTAGGATGCAACACCTGTGCTGTATGTCATCTACGGCTCCTATGCTAGATGACTAAAGAGAAACGAGCTACTCGCGCAGTCCTTCTACACAACAAGCGTGGACAATGTGGGTCATGGGCTCTGTCTTAAAGGTACAGTCGTCACCACTCGCCCTTTTCCGTAAGAAGACTCGCCCACATATCGATCAATATTATGTTGGAAAATGTGACAAACCACTCAGAATGCGCGTTAGGATTGAGATTCTTTGATACAAAAAATCTAGAGCACATAAATCAACTATCATAAATAAAGCAATTAATATGTGACTATTTAAATAAAAGCGGTCAGATTTATAAGAAATCTCGATTCGAGACGATTTACGAGTCCGACTATGTTATGAACATTTCTTTACGAAATACTATTGAATAGTGATGACACCAGGTGTTCGCGAAAAGGTGAGCGTATTCCATCCCGCCCGGAACGTATCCTGTCCCTGTGGAACCCGTCACAAACCCAATTGTTCACCTGTTTAAACATGGGTGAGGTGAGGGGAAATGGGGTTTAATGTCGCGTCCAAGATTATTGTACTTATATAGCGACGTGCATGCACGTATGTGTGTGTGTGTGGGTGCTTGTACTAGACCGGACTGATGCCGATTTATAGTGCATGTCCACTGAGATACCATGCCGCAGGTTAACATGAATACCCCACTCAGACACAGTATACTGACTCCGAGTCGACCAGTCCTTGCTTTAAACCCTTAAATGCCGAGCGCCAGACAGTGTAACAACAAGTACCATCTTTTAAACGTCTTTTGGTATGACGCGGCCGGGTATCGAACCCCGGACCTTCCGCTCTCCGGGCGGACGCTCTACCACTAGACCACGGAGGCGGTCGTTGAAACATGGGAACATATGGTAAATGTCAACTGGGAATTACATCGAACATCATTTAGAATTGATGCATCAAATTTGGAAATGTCCTCCACATGTTCTCCACGTGGAAAATTGTGAGAAATGTATGTCGTCATTTCGACATCACAAAGTACATTGATAGCAAAATTGTGTCGTAGGCATTGTAGTTGTTTATACAGATTAGATCATTCACGGCAAGAGGTTAAGATGCCCACACGAGCGTTATTCCTCTGAGTTTGTTTCTGTCGATCTGTTTGATTTTCCAAACTTAATTCAGATTAACATCCCGGCTATTTTTGAATAACCGAAATAGCCACCAGCTTATATACATTGTCGCCTTTTTGGGAATCGACCCGGGCTTTGGGCTTGACGAGCGTCCGTTTTATATACAGGACTTCTAAACCGTCCCAGTGACCAGCAGAGTACCCTTGTGACTCTCTCATACCATGTTGTAAATGAGGCGGCCATGACAGGTGCCCCTTGTGGAGATACCAAAGTTATACTGTAATATCGCCATAATCAGCGCCATAATTGACTTGGGTGTGAGCATTGTGGGACAAAACAAAATACGTCAGTGTTTACTTCAATACATTGTTTTGTATATCGAGATTCATTCACGATAAATACTGAAAGGCAAAAGAAAGTCGTCACTTGATTGTACACAGTACATCTAATCATTACCACACATTATAAACCTATTCATTGGGATCTCTATTAAGTAAGAGAGTTCTTTCTATAGGCATTAAAACCTATTGTGAGGTTTTACTTTCAAAGTAAAACCTATAAAGAGAAGTTTAACTTTCAAAGTAAAACCTATTATGGACGCTAATGACTAACTTTCAAATTTCATCCATTCCAAATCGATAAGAAAAGTCATCGCTTTCTTCAGTGAATGAAGACTGCGTAACAAAATGAAAGTCGTCGTCGTCGTCGTCGTCGTCGTCGTCGTCGCTCATCTTTCCACATCAGAGTCTCTGGTGAAAGGACAGCAAGGTTTCAAAACACGTGCTTTTAAACAAGTGCTTATCGATGCTGCACAATTTGCACGTGCAGTAACTGCTAGCCGTTACGTTACAACTACCTCTATGTAACAGTTGGATTGTTTAAATCGAAAATCTTGTAAAGCAAAAAACACCTTTAAAATTGCGAATTTTCGTTTTGAAAAGTTTAAAAGAAGTGGAATATTGCAACACAAACATTTAGAAACCGAAGATTTCACTTTCATTTAAAAGTAAGTATTTGAGTTGTGTTTTGTTGTTGACACATCCAAGGGCTCTTGAACGCCTAGCAAGTCAGCGAATTTCACGTGCAAGTTATGATATAACGACTATAAGGAAGCGCTATAATGAAGCGCCTCATTTATAGATGCTCGTTATAACATTTAATCAATTTAGACGGTTTATAAGTATGGAAAAACACTTTCCCTCGGTTTTGGTAGACAGAGCATGCCCTGGGGGTCGGGAAAAACCAAGGGGGCATGCTCTGTCTACCAAAGCCTCGTAAGCGTGTTTTCTCCAATCCATGATCAAAACTTTGTGAACATATTTCATGTGTTGATTATGGCCAGGAACAATACAGAGACGAGTCAGTGAAATGAAGTTAAAGGGGCCCTGCGGGAATGTTACAGAAAACACACAAGTCTGCTCATGACGTCGTGGGTACGGTAGAAGCCAAACAAAAGTAAAATGAAATACGTAAAGAGTGAGTGAGTGAGTGAGTTTGGTTTTACGCCGCTTTTAGCAATATTCCAGCAATATAACGGCGGGGGACACCAGAAATCGTAAAGAATGAGTGAGTGAGTTGTGTTTAATGCAGCTTTTAACAGTATTACAGTTATATCACGGCGTGTCAGTTTAATGCGGGAGGAAAGCCCGAAGTGATGCAGGTCTTGGACGTTTACAACTTCGGTAAAACCCACAAGCACGGGTATGGTGCTGACAAACCTAGAAACATAATCGGAGCGAACCGGGATTCGAACCCACAATCATAGGTTTCTGGCGTGCCCAAGGGACGCAACTCTGCACAGCGAATTGCGGCGCCTTAGACGACTGGACCACCAAATACGTAAAGAACTGGAAAAGTCACGCGAAGAGGACGTTAACACTTTTGATAATTTCTGTTCCAGAATTGTGGCAACGGAGTCGTTATTGTTGAACCAACACGTGGCAGGCAGATATATAGTGCCACGGATATATGCACATTGTGGGGTGATCCAGCACAACCCGACCGGTGAAGATCCGGGGTAGAATAGGTCTTCAGCAACCCATGCTTGCCGTAAGAGGCGACTATGCTTGTCGTGATAGGCGACTAACGGGATCGGGTTGTCAGGCTCGCTGACTTGGTTGATGCATGTCATCGATCCCAATTACGTGGATCGATGCGCATGATATCAATCACTGGATTGTCTGGTCCAGACTCGATTATTTACAGACCGCCGTCATATAGCTGGAATATTGCTGAGTGCGGCGTAAAACAACAAACCAGCACAACCCAAACAGTAGTCAGCATTTGATGACAAACGCAAACATGACATTGAATCAATGCTTGACAAGTATGGCATACACATTTTAATGATGATAACTAACTTACTTGATGATAAGCCACATGGAGAAAGAAATATTGAGATTGAGCCTCCTATGCACAATCTAAAAAGAAGTAATTATACGTCACCAGACATGGGTGGTTCTGCCAGTGAGCAGGTACTGTTGGGGGTAGAGAGTTTGGTGCACACGTGTGCCTACATACAGAACAGTACTGAACAGTTTTTATTTGGTATGGCCCGGCCATGAGGCCAATAGTCCAGATGATTGGATAATGTAAACACATTGTGGCAGAGCGTTTCATTTTATACTGGTTTTGGAATTTCTAAATTTAAACTTTTATTCAAGATAAGGAGCAAGCTGGAATAATATGCTGTTGTCATTTATTGTAAAATAAAGATATTAAGGTATGCATGGTAGGATATTCATAATAATACAAGGGCAAATATCTTGATCCTGACCTATCCTGAAAATCAAAGATGGCAAATCATTGGCATGCACCAAACTGGCATATCATGTTGGGCTTTAGCCTCCTTGTTGAACATTAATCATATTGTAGTCAGTCGACTTATTACAAAATACACATTGCCTGGACATGTGAGCAGAGACCATATTATATGGTCTCTGATGTGAGGGACCTCCCGACATCAGGACGTCCACGGAAGCCCAGTGTCAGGGAGGGCAGGGTCCTTGTACTACCTTGTACGGCTGCAAACTTCAAAGTACAGTTCTTCGTCATCACTGGCATACCAACAACATAGTATCCCCTAGAACCATCAGGTATCCACTGAATGCCGCAGGTTAAAGGGCCAGAAGACCAATAAGATTCATCTCACCCCAACACATGCAAGGCCGTTCAGTCTGGCGTCAGGTATACAGGAACTGGAGGTCATGGTCAGAGGACGCATTGGTCTGACAAGAGTTGGCTTTTATGCACCACACTGACGGTAGGACTCGTGTCTGGGGGGTAAAAGGAAACATCTTATCATCAGCGAAACATGCAGGAAACTGTTGCATGTGGTGGCGGATCAATAATATGGGGGGGATGTTCCTCCTGTGGATGCAAAATTGATTTGGTCACAGTTCAGGGGAGATTAGAAAAACAAAAGTACCAAGATTTCATATTGGACGGTTTTATTGTGCCTCATTTTGATAATCATGCTCTTGCCAGACGTCCTGTCTTCATGGACATGGACAAAGCTCGACCCCAACGAGCAGGAGCTCGTTTCAGGAGCAACGCCATTGAAACTCTGCTTCGGCCTTCTCGAAGCCCAGACCTGAATCCAATCGAGCCTCTATGGGATCAGTTGGAACGTTGGGTTAGAGCCAGGGACCCTCTAGTACAGAATCACCAAGAATTGACCCAGGCATTGCATCACGTTCCTCATTTGAGGCTACACCATATATTGACTTACACTGTGGATCATTTAGCTGTAACATTGGCACAACTTTTTGTAAGTCATGTACGTGTTGGTGAGTCCATCTCATTCCCGACAGTGACCATACTTATTCAGACTCTATTTATACCCACTAATAGTCCTTGTAGTCGCTGACGAATAAAATGTCTTTTTTTCTGTTGCTTATGCTCATTTCCCCTATTATTCATTAAAATAACATCACAATTGATATCAAGTATCACTTTTAAATTATATCGCTTTCCAGCTTCTGCTTACCAATCTCGTTTCTGAT